ACTCCATACGTTATTTCTTTATGAAAACTACCAATCTACCCTCCAAGGTGGATCATATGCAATTAACGTAACTTAAACTGATGGAAAATTGATTATAGTAGCTTTAAATATAATATTAGGGATGTAATTGACATATTTTTATGATTCAAGAATTGATTTTTTTGAAATAATAGTTTTGGGACCTAATTTTCAATGATGTGATAATTCAAGGACTAAATTGGCAATTCACTCTATTTTTTATGTCCACAATTAAAAAGAAAATAGGGGAATTAAGCCAAAGATACTAAGGATTAAGTTTATATGGGTAAAAACAAGTCATTAGTTGACCAGGTAATGCTCAATTGTCAAAATTTTAAAGTCATTTTCTGTGGCGTTGATAGTGCAAATTATGTAACATAAGAGGATGAAAGTGTCATAACCCTTGTTGGTAGTGTGCTAGATGTAATGTGCAGTTGATGGACTCACTTATATGATTATGGAAGTGATGCTGCTTCATATGAGAGCCTAGGTGTGCACTCTTTTGGCAAAATGTCATTCAAATGAGGATCCTCAATGGATCAAATTGTGTTTGTTTATCGTACATCGTACAGTCAGTTTTTGTTAGGTACTATTCAATTTAAAATAATTTCTGACTGCACGATATACGATAAACAAATACGATTTGAGGATCCACATGATCCTCACAAAAAAGGATCCTCATTCCTGGCAGTTAGGCTTGACATTTTGGCTTCTGGCAGAATCCAATGTGGTTTCTTAGTTGCCTTATTCACGCTTGGAAAATTTTTTTTTTCAAAAATTTTTATTTTCTTTAAATTGTGTGGCTTACTGCTAGCTAACATTATGGACTGTTCATTGCAAATTATATGAAAATTTCACGAGATATGATAGGGTATTTTTTTCTCAAACGATTATTCTCTTTCTCATTTTTTTCCCCAAATTAAATATATTGATTTTTTTTAAACAAAAGATATTATCTATATTAAAAAAGAGGGGCATTGACTTAGTTTCATTATACCACTAGTCCGTAATACTAAATGACAATATATTGAATTTTAATGACATGGTTTTATGCAAGTGACCATTTACCACAGTGGTGGAAAGTTGTTGAGCCCTTGCATGACGTGGGTCTCAAATCCCTTCGGTGGCTAATCTAACATCTAATAAAATCTATCGTTTGACCGAAAAAAGGAAAAAAAAAAAAAAGAGTTCTAGGAAAATTTTAGATGACATGTAAATCTTTGTTTTTTTTTTTAACAATTAAGGACACAGCTTAAACTAAGTATGTGGAAAAGTTTTGCACGTCGTGTATCAACCTTTAAAGCTGTTTTAATGGTTTTTGTCTTTGATTGTGTGGATAATTTTGTTACAAGTTTTGAGAGAAGTTAAAATTCTAGGTAAACTATATTTTACCATCTCGATTTAGATCAAATTACAAATTCATACCTTATTTTTTGCAGATTGCAATGTCACATCTCAATTTACGAATTTGTTGCAATATCATATATCTTTATGTTTGTCGATTTGTTTGTTAACTCCTGACATGGCAAGCGCAGGGCCTACTCCCTCGTCTAACTAGAACTCCATGTGGCTTTATAAAGTACGTGGATCCTGTCATTGATTGACACGTGAACTGATTTTTAAACTAAAATATATATATATAGAAAAGTTAAAAAGTTAAATAATGAAAACGGTCTAACAAAACTAATTGTTTTTAATGAAATTTTATTAATACTAGGCGATGATAGTATTGTAAATAAGTCGAAGTATGGGTTCAGTAGTAGGATCATAAATAAGTTGAAATTTGGTTGCACAAACAACTGTTTATTATGAAACAATCAATATTTATTAATAAATACTCAGCTATGAAGAAGTGATCATGCACAAAGTTTAATTTATTTATGATAGTGTCATTAAACTTTAACTTTTGTGTGATACAATACAACCGTCAAACCTTAACTTATTTACGATACTGTCACCGTCGCCTTTCTTCAATTTACATACAATACTACAACTATCCCTTGTTTTTGTCCTTGTTATTAATAAAAGTTTATTAAATATTTTTCATTTAAAATTCAAAGGGAAAAAAGAGGGAAAAAATAATCATAATAATTTACTAAACTCCAAAAGCAATTCAACATCATACACATGAGAAAAAGAAGACGCACAATTTAAAAGGGCCGGGGGCTGCGCAACTTAGGAACTTTTTTATCTTTAAAAATTTGTTGCTATTTGTGGAAAACTTGTTGCAGTGTTTCGATTCAATAATATTATGATACTATTAGAGATGAGATACAACGAAATAAGTAAAATAAAAATTCATTTCGTATACGTTGTTCTCTAATCACTGCCACTTGCGCTAGGACTTGTCGCATTGGAGATGCTCTTATTTTTATCGATTATGTTAGTTCTTATAATACAATTTTTTCCGATTGTGTTTATTTACACCATTGGATATGCTCTTAGGATCTAATGTGACGTTCCCTCTTCTTTTTGTCAATTAATTATAAGGTTGATGCTCATTTTTAATATATAATAACCATATTTGGAGTGATCAAACATAACACCGTCCTTAAATAAACAAATATTTTAACCATTTGAGTTATAAATTCTTTTTATCTTTAGAACGCTGCTTGGCTGCTCAAGATGTGGACGTGTCCATCCAAGATTGAATGTAAGCACGAGCTCCGCTGAAACGTTGAGCAGCAAGTATTTTCCTTATCTTTAATACTAATGAATAAGTGAGTTTAGCTTTTAGTGGTATATGATTGATGTGACCACTAACAGAGTTTAGCTTTTAGTGGTATATGATTGATGTGACCACTAACAAACGAATCAATTGTCAAGCAAAAATTTGAAAATGTGGTATTGGTCAATTTTTCTTTTAAAATTGTAATGGTCTTACTGATTTTCATTTTGAACTTTAATTTTAGACACTTATCCACTTAAAACTCTTATAATTATTCAATTTTCCCTCTGTTGTGAATATTTTTCTAAATTTAATTGTTTACTTTTGCTAATGGAGGTCACCTCCATAGCCTGGTCGTGTAAGAGAGTTTTAGGATTGGTTTAAGATTGTGGTGTTTTCAGAAAAAATAGCTTATTAAAAAATCTGGAATGCTAAAGTGTTTGGTAAAACAAAAAAAAGTGTTTTTTTTAAGAAAACTTCTATCAATAAAAGTAGAAAAACAGAAACAAGGTTTACCATGCTTTAAAAAAAATGTTTTTTTTGTCTTCAATGCTTATTTAATGAAATTTTTAAATAGCAAGCATACATCCACATGTTTTACAAAATTACAATATTTGTCCTTACATTATTGTCTTTGACAATTATTATATCACATTAAATATATCATTTTTAGTCATTTAACATACTTAAAGCAATTTATATAAAAGTTTATCAAACACTTAGACACTATTTTTTTATTTAAAACACTTTTACAAAAAAAAAAAAATTTACCAAACACTTAATAACTTTATTTTATAGTTTTTATTTTCACAGTATAGAGGCAGTTTTTTTTTTTTAAAAGCACAGTACTATCAAGTATCAACCTAGCCCTTAAAGAGGGAGAGAAAATTTAAAGAAAAAGAAAAAATATATATAAGAATTGAGGAAAATAACTTTTCTACTTTTTGAATCTGCAAACTGGCAAAAGTTAATAATGGAATGCTATGAAAAGCTGCAAGGACAAGGATTGTCTGCCCTTCACTTCCGGTGCTCTTTTCGTATTCTCCTGTTTTGTGTGGTCACGGTTAAGTCACGTCAACATTTTATACTATTTTTTATAAATATAATAAGACAAAAATGAATAGTAATATAAAATGTTGACGTGGCTTAACCGTGACCACACAAACAGGAGGGCACGGGGAGGACACTGGAAGTGGAGGGCAGACAATCCTTGTCCAAGCTGCAAACGTGGCAAAAGTTAATATTGGAATGTTGGAAGGAAAAATTGAGGACCTGATTGTCTACCCTCCCCCATCTCATATCATTTATATCCCCTCCTATTTTTATGGTCACGGTTAAGTCACATCAACATTTTATATTTCTATTTTTTTTTTGTCTTATTATTTCTATAAAAAAATCAATATAAAATGTTAACGTGGTTTAACCATGACCATATAAATAGGAGGGGATGGAAAGTGTATGAGATGGGGAGGGCAGACAATCCAGGTCCAAAAATTCAAGTGTTCTGAAGAAAAAAAAACTATTTCTGCTGTGCTATGAGAATAAACTTATTTTTGCTGTTTCATGTTTTTAGTTTTTTTTTCATCGAAAACTGTGAAAATAAGTTGTTTTTAAATGTTTACCAATTACTTTTTTTAGCTCAGCTTTTTTTTATACCCACTTTTTTTAAATTACCTCAGTACCAAACCAGTACCTAAGAGCATGGTGAAATTTATGAAAGAAAAAATTAAAATTAAGTTGAGAATTGACCGAATTATCAAGTTTAGAGAGGAAATCGACAAATATCTCAAATTTCATTTGAGAATAGGCTTTCACCGCGTCATCAACAACAGTCCCTAATCCGCTAATTACAATCCTAATTGTGTTTTGCTTTCTTTCCTTGTAGTGTAAATAACAACAGTTAACGCAAATCTCATTATTTTATCCTGATAAATCTACACCATATATTTTACTTCTTATACTGGAAATTTTGCAGTTCACTGGATCTTGATTCCATCCCACTAATATTAGTATTTTATTTTTGTTCACATTTAATTTTTGTCATATTTTCCATGCTGGTTCTCGTCCAATGCCTTAAATGATTATGATTTTACTGCATTTGTAGCTGTAGGTGGAGGACAATTTTAATGGTATGGCACACTGTCACGTGACGTCTACAACATACATGAAAACAAACTTACTCATGTTTTTACCATTGACATGAGACGCCATAGCCAATAATTGTCAATAATAGGACACCATGGGAGCGGTGTACGGTGCCATATAAGTCCCTCTCCTGCAGGTGACGCATGCATTGATGTTAATTTACTTTTCATGTTAATATTAATCCTGACGTATACAAAAACCAAAAGTTTAATATCTCCCTGTCCCCCTCCTCAGTCAGCCTGAAACAGGATCAAACAGATTCAGAGAGCCATTTTTCGGGGTTTGGGTTCGAAGCGATTGATTGTCGAAGAATGGCTGAAGAGTGCAGAGAGACGCTATTGAAGAAGGATTACTATGACGATTGTCCCGGCTGCGTGATGGAACAGCGCAAAGAGCTGCAGAGAGGCCTTCCTATTAAAATGCTTGTTTCTATATGGATTATTGTTCTTTCAGCTTGTAAGAAAAGCACTTTTTGTTTTCTTTCTGATTTTGTTTATCATTTTTCTTGAACCGAATCTGAAAATGGTTTTCGAATTCATCCTCATTGTGTCGCATTACACTTCCGTTTTCTTGTGAACAATGTGACATGTATGTATGATATATAACTCAGTGGAGAAACTAGTTTTGCAATCCATGTTGAAATTAATTGAAAACGTGAAAAGGAAATTCAGATATATGCTTTTAGAGGATTAAGCAGTTATAGGTGCCTTCAGAAAAAGCTACTACTAGGACAATATGAAATTAGTGAAAGGCTTGCTGCATGATGATCTTACGGTTTGATTGCTTTGTCGCTCCCGAAATGATTAATCGATTATTTGAAGTAATGTTTATATCTGCACTGTCTTCTAATTTCTTTCAAATGTTTTCACCCTCTCGTGATCGCTTTCCAGCGCTGCCGATATCATCTCTCTTTCCATTCCTTTATTTTATGGTGAGTATGAATACTGTTGTTACTTGCAATTCTTAAATTTTATGAAAAATACAACCTTCAAAACCCGTTGAAGTCGACTTGGTATCTCAAGATTCCAAATTATTGTGTGCAGATTAGGGATTTGCATATTGCTAAAAGAGAGGAAGACATTGGCTACTATGCTGGGTATGTAGGTGAGTTGATGATTGTCAGTACTTATTACCTTTCTTATTCTTCACCATTTTGTTCCTTAACGAGTGTCTTTAAAAACTTTTGTACATTGTGAAGGGGCTTCATATATGATTGGCAGAGGTCTGACATCAATTTTTTGGGGAATGGTGGCTGATCGCTATGGTCGGAAACCTGTCATAATTATAGGGACTGTTGCAGTGTTAGTAACTTCTGCTCTGCAATTGAGTTTCAATTTGATAACTTGGCTGTTTTCCTCAACGCTCTTCACAGCGTATTTACAAATTATTTTTACTATTTATTGGCACAGGGTTATTTTCAACACTCTATTCGGACTCAGTGTAAACTTTTGGATGGCCATTTCTACACGATTTCTTCTTGGAAGTTTGAATGGTTTACTTGGGCCGATTAAGGTACTGTACTGTGTCATATATGATTTGATAATTGTCATTGCAAGTGTACAACCACGTATGTAATGTCCCGGTTACTTAGAATATACGATTTAACTGCATGACCAGGCATACGCTAGTGAAGCCTTCCGAGAAGAACACCAAGCTTTAGGCATGTCAACAGTAAGCCACATTGGCCTCTGGATTCTGCAACTTCTTATAATAGATGTTGTACATCATCAACATTGAGAGTTATCCTCTTTTTTCAGGTTAGTGTGGCCTGGGGTATCGGATTGATCATTGGCCCAGCTTTGGGAGGTTTCTTGGCCCAGGTAATTCTACTTGCTGCAGTGAAAATCATGGGGAGTAGATCATTTTACGCTAGCACACGGTACAATAACACTTGGGAATTAATTTGAAGGCTTAAAGCAAGTATGAGGTGTAACAGTCGTTTTGAATCCGTCCTAGAGTACGAGAAGGTTGGTTTTCGAAGGAATAGGCTAAATAGAGCAATTAATGGTTCATTGTCGAGAGTACGCTTAGTGAAAATCATGGTGTAGCAGATGATTTTAGTATTTGAAGGCTGTTTCCTGCGAGTTTAAGGTTGTGGGATACCAAAATGATCTAATTCCACCATGTCTGTTTAATATGATGACTCTTCAGAGCTATTGGACACTAAAGAAGAAATTATTCTATTTCTTTGTTATTTTTTTCTGGTTGAACTCTCTCTCTCTCTCTCTCTCTCTTTCTCTCTCTCTCTCTCGCTCTCTCTCTTATCGTTTTGTTTTCTAGATTATTAATGGGACGCTCCTAACAATTTTATGCAGCCAGCAGACAAATTTCCAAGTATATTTTCCCAAAACTCTATATTTGGGAGGTAAAGTTGGGCTACTTATTTAAGTGTACTGCAGTGGGATTGTCAAGTTTCAGCCGTTTTCTTATTATTTGTTTGTTGCACTATGATGTTTGTGAAATTCTCATGCAGGTTTCCGTATTTCTTGCCTTGCCTATGTATATCGGTATTTGCATTTGGAGTAGCCGTTGCTTGTTTCTGGCTTCCGGTACACATTTAGTATATATTCCTTTATGATGAGTTTCTTTTATTTTTATTTCTCATTGTTTTGGCCTCTTATATTTCTTTAGCTTATAACATAACTTGCTCAAATTTCTCATCACGTAGAGGACTCGCTTACTGCCCTGCAGTACATCTAGACGCCGTTCCTGGATAATAAGTACCTGTTAATACCAAGTTCCATTCTTATAATGTCCAATTATATACCCTGTCCGTTCTACACTCATTCTTCCTAGCATGCCTTAACTTATTTTTACATGATTGAGAAGATTTCAGACATCTTGTCCCTTACATTTTGTACTCTTTAACTCTTGATTTGAATTTCACTTCTTGAGGATCCTCCAGAAAAGAGAAACTAGTAATGCCTGGTTCATCTTCAGCAGATGTTTACATTTACACTTTGACACTGTACGTATTAACAGAAAATGTCCATACCTTGATGGTTGCAGGAAACTTTACACAAGCATGACGGAAAAGCTAGATTACACGATGGTCCTTATGAAGCATTGGAAACTGCATCCGGTGGGTCTGATGCAAATGAAAAGCAAAATACTGAAGAACAAACACCTAAAGAAAACCTCTTCAAGAATTGGCCCTTAATGTCTTCAATCATTGTTTATTCCATTTTCGCACTTTATGACATGGCTTATACAGAGGTAACTTCCGTGCGTTTTTCATGTTAACACAGTATAGCATAATTTGCAGCATCTTTCCTTTTCCTTTTGCTCTCTTTCACTCAAAGTGATGTACTATGTGTTTCTTATGATTCGTTAAACAGATATTCTCATTATGGGCTGTAAGTCCTCGGAAGTTTGGGGGTTTGAGCTTTTCAACTGAGGACGTTGGTGAAGTTCTTTCAATTTCTGGTAATACTCTGATATTCACACATGTTCCTATGTTAAACACATTATGATCCGCATAACATATCTGGGATATTTGCTTAATATGCAGTCTCTGTTTGTTTCGATTTGTACCTAACTACATATGCAGAATAATGGCTGATAACTTAATCAACTTGTAGGTTTTGGTCTTTTTTTCTTCCAAATTACTCTATATCCATACGTTGAAAGGCTTCTTGGTCCTGTTATGATTGCTCGCATTGGAGGGGTAAGTTTTCGGCTCCTTCTCCCTGTGCATTATACTACCTTCTGCAGTTTAATTCTTTTTGCAAATAATTGTCCTTTGACCTGACTCCTGGTGACCGATATTATTTTTTTTCCTTCGTGTTTTGTTTTGCACATGATTCGTGTGCAGATTATATCCATACCTCTGTTGTCAAGTTACCCGTTTATAGCAATGTTGTCCGGGCTCTCCCTTTCCGTGCTGTTAAACTGTGCATCTGTGCTGAAGAATGTCTTATCCGTATGTGGATCCATGACTTTAGAGCTCATTTACTTAACACTGTATGCACCATTATATATTATCTACGAGAAACTGATATAAATTGTTTTACAAGAAACAAAATTTTATCTACAATAATCATAACATGTTACGAAAGCGAAACTCTACTTTTATCTATCCACAGAAATTGATAGTTTATCAATTTTTATTTCCTTTTCTTCCAAAGGAATACTATCTGTTTACCATTTTCTTCTCTAATACCGTAATACGTATTGTGCTCTAACTTTTAAATTTTTTCTGTACAATTAGGTCACGATTGTGACTGGCCTGTCCATCCTTCAAAACAAAGCCGTGGTAATTTTATTCTCGGATTAACTATTTAATTCATGTGATCATTGGCTTCGAATATAAACTGTGTCGTAACTTAACCATGATTACACAACAGGACCAAAAGCAAAGAGGTGCGGCAAACGGACTTGCTATGACAGCAATGTCAATGTTCAAGGCAATTGGTCCAGCTGGTGGCGGTGCATTGTAAGTTTAGCTCTCTTTTACTTATAGGCGATGCTTGAATCAATATTTTCGTACTAGTAAGTACGCCAACTGGGAGTTGAAGTGATTTTGTTATACGATGTTCTTTGTTGGTACTGTTCCATTACATAAGTTTGCGTATACCTTGTACGTTTTGTTCTGCATGTAGTTTGAAGATTACTAGTAGTATTGCGTACTGTAAATCGGAGAAGCCGAGTTTACAAGCCTTACAACAGCGTACTTTTTTCGGTGTACATATTGCCTTGCACAATTTACCAACAATATGATTTCGTTTCAACAGGTTTTCTTGGGCACAAAAACGTCGGGATGCTGCTATCCTACCTGGTATCATTCTTGACCAACGTTTCATCCTGGATTTACTGACAGCCCGCATGGTTTAGAAACATAATCGTTTCAAATTTCGATTGCAGGAAGCCAGATGATATTCTTCATCTTGAATGTGATCGAAGCAATCGCAGTTCTGATGACATTCAAGCCATTTCTTACTCTACATGAGTAGATCGAGATCAATGTAAACGGAAGTTCATGTCGATGTCTAAGGAAAATCCCTGGCCACACTGATCTTGTAGCAAGGATATAGCTTAGTGGGAATATTAGACACGATCCTCATTTTTCAAAGGGAAAACATTATTGGCATTGGAGTTACATGTATCATAACCCTTTTAGGAAGAATATTAGGGTTGCAATCGAGCGATTTTGAGTGTATTCGGTATGCTCAGAGTCTTATCAATTTCTAACTACTGTATATTTTGGCTCTCTATTGAGGTTGAAGATTCAAATGATCAACATTCTTATGGTATGCAAAAAGAGTTGAATTGCCACACAAGGAACTATTCCAGCACATGTAAAACAGAAAGCAATCAAGAAGACCCGAATCGACGTGGGAGTTTATGACTAAATCCCCCAACATTGTATTTGGTTCTTTCTTGTACTGAAAGAAACTGAAAGAAACCGAAAGGACCTCGTCGACGTTGAACCGAGTTGAGAGTAGGATACAAGCATGGACTTGTTTCGGGGTCTGAAATGTCCTGGCAATATTGTGTATGATGTATGCAGCACCAAACCTGAAGAAGAAAATGAAAGAGTAATGGATGCACGATTGTGACAGTGGGATTTTGATGGGTGTGAATCAGAAGAGCGAGGTTTGAGGGAAGAGAGAAGCAGTGGAAACGTTGGAAAACATGAAAATAGGATAAAATCATGAAAACTAGAATCATGGACTTGTTTGGAAATGCTTTTAAAGTGATTGAAAGGGCTTTCGGTGAAAATATTTTCACTAATGGATTTTCAGTTATTTTAAATGCACTTCCCAATAAATCCAAGACTTTTGGTGATAATCTCTTAATCCCTTTTCAGTGTTGGACTGAAACTACAAAGATTTGTGATCTAACAAGTACAGTGCATGGCCACCACTTTTAGGGTTAGATGACTTTTGTAGAGGATTGTGTGTTGATTAACGCACTTATTTTTTTATATTAAAAATACATCATTTAATGTGTAAATTTAATTTAAAATTTTAATTTTCTTAGCATTATCCTTTAAGTAAACACTTCCTTCACAGTAATCTCCCCGAACGCTATTGGTAAAGAAGACCAATTTTTTTGTTCATTTATATGATTGATGAATTAATAAAAGAAAAGCTACATGGGCTTTTGCTTTTGCGTCATGGAAATATATAAACTCCTACTGTTCTTATATAGAATTTGTTATTTATAAATTCCAACATGAATTTTGCTAAAAAATGTTTTCGATAACAGAACATCTATTAGGAGTACTACAATTTTTTTTAATAAAAATGCCAGTACTTATGAAAAAGTATTTGAGGGTTTTTTGAATAATAAACACTTTTAACTTTTAAAATCCCTTTTGAACAAGTTCTAAGGGGGTGGAGAATTATGGCCGGAAGCACTTTTAGGGTGTGTTTGTTTCCCTTCACTAGCCTTCGCTGGACTGGACTAGACTAATAGTTAGTCCAGTCCCATGTTTGTTACTTCACGAGACTAGCTTTAGTGGGAGTAAGCCGGACTCGCCTCGACTAAGGACCGTGCTAGATGGTCTTAGCGAGAGACGTCGCGAACCATGGGACTAGCTAATCCCTTCGATTGCTCTTTGCTCGCGTTCTCTCCCTCTCTCCTCGCCCGCAACCCTGAATCATGAACAAAGACCTTGATTTGAACTTCAATCGGAGAACTCACGAGCTCCGTCGTCCGATTCACCTCCGCTCAGACCAAGCTCATCGGTCGCGCCCTCTGATTGGGCTCCTTCCTCCTAGACCTCAATTTTTTATGGTAAGGACTTCGAGCTCTGTCCTCCTTAACCTCTTCCACTGCTACCTCTGCTCCACTTTGTGTTACACCCACCCCTAATTTAAATTGTATTTTTACTAAGTTTGAGATTATTTTGCTTTTAAAATTATTTTTGGGTCTTAATTGGTGTGCCCAAGGGGCCCACCCTTTGACTTTGTCCCTCGGTTCCTCTATTCTTTTGCTGCCATGTGGCACTTCTTCCCCACGCTTTCTCTTCTCTTTACTTCCTTCCTGATTCTCCCCCTCACTTTTCTCTCTTATCTTTTTCTTTCCCCATGCTCCCTCTCTCTGTGCTATCTCCTCACAGTCGAACCCAAACATACACTCATACAACAATCATCACCTCTATCCTTCCTTTCTCTGCGTGTTCCAGAAGCTAGGATTGAGGGAAGATCACCTCAATCTCCACGTGATTACTACCATTGTGCAAACATTCCTCCGACGAGATTTCCTCGTCCCTCCGACATTGGTAAGCCCTAGAATCCCTTGGTTAGTGTTTACATGGAATTATGGGATGAAATTGAGTAGTTTTGATAGCTGTAAGACATAGAAACACCTCGGGAGGACCTCTGCAGTTTTTTCGACGATAAACCGTGGTCGTTTGGCCATCGTTTAGGCCATTTTTAGGCCAACTCCGGCCACCATTCGGTCTCCACTTAGTATGATTCTCTTCTTCATTTCTAGCTAAATTTTAGCTTTTGAATCACTCAATTTGGTTAAGTAACGAAGAAGTTATGAAGCTTTGAAAATTCCTTAAACTTTCGGCCAAAACCTAGTTTTCCCCAACAAGCACTGCCTCTTTCGAGGCATATTCCGGCCAAACCAAGGTGAGTTGGCCAGCGTGCAGGGTATCAATCTCTTCATCTCGTCGAGTACTACAACTTTCATGTTTGGATCACTTGATTTGGATGAGTAACGTAGAAGTTATGAACGTTTAAAGCTAAGGAACTTCCAAATTCCGGCCTTCTTCTTCCTTGGGTCCGGCGACCCACCAAACCTAGGCCCTTCGGGCCGTTCCTGCCAAGCCCAAAACCTTGGGCAGCCCAACCCAACACTTTTATTTAGTATATTTTTCTTATTTTAGTTTCTAAAATCCAAAAGGCCCTTTGGGCCATTCCTTTTAAAAACTCAAGCCTTTAAAGGCTTAAGGCCTTCGGGTCGTTCCACCTTAGGCCCTTGGCCTTAGGGCTAGGTCCCTAAACCCCATTCCCTTAAACTCCTAAGCCCAAATCCTAAACCCAATTCCCTAAAGCCCTAAACCCAACCCACCTAAAAGTCTAAGTCTAAACCTTTTAACTTTTCAAAACCCTAAACCCTAACCCAAGTCCAAAACCCTTAACTCGGAACCTTTCCTAGGCTAATTTCGACGTCCTGAATCTGTTTTTGACGTCCGTTTTCCCAAATTCATTTGCTATTATATAGTTTTATTAATTGGACCATTTATGTGCTTAGGGGCAATTATAGTGGCGTTTCTGTCTTCGCTAGTTGCGTGGCTCTTCGGCGGCTAAGTACAGTGAGTGGACCCTTTCTAAAAATGCATGTTTTATAGTAGAAATGCATACATGAAAAGCATGATTTAATGATTATGTTCTATGAAACGTTTTGAGATAACATGCTTACTGAGGCTAGTTTGAATTACTACTATTTTTCCTATAACCCGTGTTCTTATAGAATATCTAATGGATGACGATATGATATTTAGAACATGTTTAGAACACTTCTTTATAGTATAGATGATGGATGACTTTATACTATGAAGTTGCTTTTCAATATATATATATGTTCAATGGTTTTGTACTACCTAGTGGTCATTTCCGCTACGGGACGGAGGGATAGATTCAGGTCCATCTCGGGCGACGGTTTGGTGTTGGCATAGGGCCTGGAGTGTGTTTCCTCTGGCTATTTAGCACAGGGACGGGGAGCCGGCATGGGGCCTGAAGTGTATTTTCCTCTAACTATTTGCTCAGAGACGGGGAGCCGGCATGAGGTATAAGGGTTATTGGACATTCACTAGTGATTATTATAAGTTATGATTTGAGACATTGCACGACATGCTAGGTTTCGAAAAACCTATGTTTATCATGATATATATGTGTTTTCATAAAACCTGGGGGTTAGTACGTTGATAACTGTTTTTACTATATATATCAAATTGGTCCACTCATGTTTGTTTTGCGCCCCTTTCAGGATTTAGAATTGAGGCATACAATCCTGGTATCAAGGCACTTCTGCATCTGCATCTTCGAGTCCTCTTGGTGTAGGATCCATTCTTTTATTCATTTAAATTTTTATTATTTCTTTTAGTATTCTAGTTAGTTGTATGCTCTGAACACGTTCCTTAAATGCATATTCATTAGTCTTTTATATTTATAAGTCTTATTTACTCCTTATTCTCAGCATTTGCATTCTATAAATGGCTTTCGTCACCATCGGGTGTCGGCCAACACGTGCCTATCCTGATGTTCATGGAATATCGGGATCGGGGCGTCTCACTTTGCCCCTCACATCTCCTTCTTCCCTGCTTCCCACAACCAGAAAACCCATAAAAATTGAAAAAACCCAGAAAAGGGAAAAGGGAAAGAGACAGTGGCACATATAAAATGGCAGAGAAAGAGGAGAGGGGAAGGATGGAGTGGGTGGACAAGAAAATGAAAGAGGAAGATGAAATGGCAGAGAAAGAGAAGAGGGGAAGGATGCAATGGGCGAACCAAAAAAAAATGAGAGAGGAAGATGATTCTAGAAAGGAAGATGAAATGGCAAAGAAAGAGAAGCGAGGAAGGATGCAGTGGGCGGACAAAAAAAATGAGAGAAGAAGATGATTCTAGAAAGGAAAATGATAATTTAATAATAAAATATTAGTATATATAGATTAAATTAATGATAAAATATTGTAAATATAAATTTAATAATATAATATATGAGTCTTACTTTTTAGTCCGACACAGCATCAAACGTTTCACTAAATCAATCCAGCTTAGTCCCTGAAGCTAGTCCAGCCCGAGATAATCCGGTGCAACAAACACACCCTTAGTGATATTTGAAACTCATTTGAAAGTTTTTTTTTTCTTAAACAAACGATAGTATTTACACTAAGGGATGAAGAGATGAGTTAAGCCACATAATGAGTTAGCCATAATAATAAAGTTCAAATTCGTTTTTGGCGAGAATCGAATCTAATACCTCTCATCTACATATGAAGAGGAATATCACTTGTAAGTGAGAGACCTCAAATTTGGTTCTTGCCAAAGGTGAATTTGACCCACATTATTGCTTTGCTAACATATTGCGAGGGTAACCTATTTTAGTGTAAATAATATCGTCTTTAAAATTAAAAAAAAAAAAAAAAAAAAAAAAAACCAACCCATTTAAGTATTTATCCAAATGTTGATTTTAGCGAGTGAATTGGATCGGGTTAGCGGGGTTGGGTCTAAAATGCCACCCGTACACACACGAGTCTCGACACCCTCTCTGTCTCTCCAGAATCAGATCTACCCACAGGAGGAGGCACCAGAACA